CCTGGTGCAGGCCCCCCCCCCCGGTCCCGCCTCTACGACGGTGTTGGGGGGGGAAAGTTCAGCAACTCACACTCCCCCCTTTTTTTTTAAATTTGCAAACACCCCCCTCTCCTCGCTCAAAGTTGGAAAATGAAATTTTGCCCTCCCAGGGCACGCAGGCTAGGAAGCGGACGCTCTGCGATCCCCTACTCAGCACTAGATCCGCTCACCTGCCCTCCGGACCCCAGCTGGGACCATTCCCCTTTCCATCCCTGGCATGCATTATTGTGCTGTCCACCATCTGCCCCAAGGCTTCTAGAAATTGATGTTTAGAGGGAGAGGATGTCCATCTGGTCCCCAAACTCGATGGGCGCGCGGTCTTGGCCGAGACGTGAGAACTCAGGTGTATGAGAAGGAGGATTAAGATGGAAAACCCGCCAAGCTTTTTCTGGGCGTCCGCCGTTCCTTCTCTTGGTCTCCCACCCTCTCTTTTCTTCCTCCCTGTTTTACCTCGCTTTCCCTCTTTTTCCTGTTTCCGAGCCTCGAGCAGCTTTAGCATGGAATATTGTAGAGTTCTAGATTAACTGTAGAATCGGAAGACGCTCTAGTCCAACGCGCTCGTTTTTCCGACAGAGAAACTGAGGCCCGGGGCGGCAGCGGTGCCTGGATTGTTGGCTCCCTCGTTGGCTTGCTCCGCTGCTCTCTGCTTTAAAGCGTTTTCCCTTTTCTGGGGACCAGCGTTGGAGTTGGCGGGACCGCATGTAGTGCTCAACCACACCTAGATCAGGGCGCCCATATATCGACTATTTGATTTGAGCGCTTCCTCTTTTGCAATCTCACGTCCCTAAATTACAGCAATCCCAGGGCTATGATCCCGCAGTCCTATCTCATGCTATATGTCAATGAATCACTCAGTGCTGACTTGCTGCGCGGGACATTTATATATTCCCGGACGCGATATAAGGGTGGGGATGCTGTGATACTGAGGCTGCGGTCGCCGTGCGGCAGCGACTGGCCGTAGGGCCAGGGGTCCGGGCGGCAAGCACTGGCTCTTACCCTGGGGGGACGCGATTTCAGGGCCCTCAAGGTGACCGCCTCAAACGGTTAGCGCCAGCGCCGGTGGTGTCTGTCCTCCCCTCGCAGTCAGCCGGGCGCGAGCCCGATCCGGCTTCAGGCAAGTGTTGCTCAAGAAAGCGCTTCTACCTGGAAGTGGGTTTTTGGCGTGATGCTGTGCAGAAGCGAGCGGTCGCCTATAGCTCTCAGATTTAAAACAAAGCGAAGGTCACTGAGCAGGGTTCCCAAACCGGCGGCACGGAGCAGCGGTTCTTACGCAGCCCCAGTACACCTTTTCTGGAGCAAGGTGTGGTTAAAAATACATCGACAAAACTTGGGCAGTTGGTGCTTTTGCTTTAGCCACTATATATTTCACAGATTGTTGTGTTTCCTCTCCCCCGTCCTGGCGCCTATAGGAGTGGGCCTTTTCAATTCTGCCCCGCTTACTTAAATTTTTACAGCTGGGGAGCCCTTTTTAAAGGGGCTGTTTTTCAGAAGCAGCTGGTCTGTTCAGAGGCTGTGACTAATGCATTCACATCTGTGGTTTACAGGGCCATTCGTGCCCCAGGTGTCTTAGTGCCAAATACCTGTAGGGCAAACAGTGTAAGGAGCAGCCATCTATGGTGACACTGCACAGACGGCATCTCATTTAATACTCAGCACAGGCGTTAACCATGGGTTATGATTCAGAAAGAGAAGCAGAGCATTTTTAAGTAACAAATCCAAGGTGTCAGGGTAAGTGGCAGCACTGAGATTTGAAACTAAAGTTTATTCTTAAGGGCTTTTTACTGAAAGCCATTTTCTCTACTGCGCTGGTACTGGTCCTTACTTCCTTCCCAGGATAGTCGTGCCCATTTTATAGAGGAACAAACGGAAGCGCTAAAAAATTTAAGTGATGGCCAAGTTAGCTACAGAGTCAGGATCATGATCCAGGTCTACCTGCTCTCAGTTCATTCCACTGGCTCTGAAAGTTCCCATGAAAGAAATGTTGGTGACATCGTAAACATCTACCCCTCCCCTAACATAACAAAATATAGAAAAACTGGGATATATAATTGATTTAATAACAATTGCCATATCTTATTGAAGCATGTGAAATTATAATCCATCTCACTATGATGAAAAGTAGCTCTATTAAGAATGAAATGATACAGTTTTGAAGTCTTAACCATTTCAAATAAAGGTAATGAAAAAAGCAAGCAAGCTGAAATTCTGCTCAACACTGTGTAGTGTGTCGATTTGAAATTCAGCACGAGTGTATAAGAAAGAAATAAATATATTGAATACTTTTATGTATTCTGCACAGCCAAAAAAGAAGGATGAGGGGATGGGTTGAAATATTTTTTTTCTTAGTTTCCCATCAAACGTGTTTTTCAGTTATTTGTTATGTAATCCAAGGGAATTTTCGTGCTTTTGTTTCTGGTCTTTTGTTCACCATGTTGTGTAATCTGTGTCTCACTGAAGTTAGACCAGTTTTTTGACTCTGCTGCCACCCTTATGGCTTGTGCAACTTGGCGGGCTGATATGTAATACGTTCAGCACTAAGCAATAAAAAAAAGATTTCAGAGGTGAAGGGGAAGATGGGCGTCGTTTGAGGTGTCTAGATTCGAAGGCAACTTTCAGGATTTTGGAATCATGTCCATTTTCAGCATCACCAGAGCCTCACACATGGGTTGTAAAAAGATTAGGCCCTTCCCCTGCTGACAGGGTGGCTGAGGGGCTAAGGAAGGAGTTGCTCTAGCTAGTGGGCTCCTAGACCTTTCCTTCTTGCTCTTTTGCCACCCATGCCTCTTAAGTGCTCCTGCCATGAGCTCTCTTTCCTGACCCGGTGGGGCAATACAGGGTTGTTCTTTTTCTGCAGCACGTATAGGCACAGCCACCACAAAACAGCTGTCTCGAGCTTTAAATTACACAAATCCCTATGTACTAGGTTAGATTGCAGCTGCTCACAACTGTATCTCAGCCCTCCCCGGTCCTTTTAGCTGGTTGGTTACTTGACCCCCAAATTAATTGTGCTGAGTCCTCTCTGGGCAGGTTTTAAAGAATGTGAAGACGAAAAGGGATGCAGGTCGGGGAGCATCTGAGAGCTGGCTTGTGCTGACCGTGGAGCTAGGCTGGTCAGAGCCTGCCCATAGCTGCAGCCGGGCTGTGTGTAAAGTCCTCTCCAGCTCTCCTGTGACTTCCTTGGGGAACTTCATTCAACTGATGAGTGCTGGATGGGTATTTACAACCTCTGGACTCAGCTGCAGCAGGGACAGTTGTTGCCATTTATTGAGTAATTACTGTATCTGAATTTTTAAAGTGCTTTGGGGATAATAGAACACAAAATACTAAGAACCCTTTTAAAGAATTGGGATCTCTGTTCTGTCCTCATTCTTACTGCATCATCTGATCTTAAAATTGTCATAGAGCTGAGGATCATGTAGACTTAGCACTTATCAGTGGATTGGAAGAACCCTTTTTTTCCAGACTCCAGAACATTAAAACAGCATGTATACAGGAAGTGGGGGCAGGAATTTATTACATGAAAAAGTCGCAGTCAATGCTGGAATCCCATAACCTCCCTGATCAGTGATTGCTACCCTTTGCTTGAAGTCAGATAGTGAGGTGTAACTGTGCTGAGCCCCTTCAGGCAGATTGCTCACATCCTGTCCTGATCATAACCCTGTATATGCATCTCTGTTACAACACTCCTCCTACACCACTGCCAGCTCCTGAGGGCAGGGAGAGAGACTTTCTTCTCTCTCTCTCTCTCTCTCCCAGTGCCCAGCTGGATGCCTGACCCAGAACAGGGCCTTGAAAAATGTTACTTGGTTGAATATGGTCCTAATCTTGGGCACCAACTCACCAACTCCAGAGGATACTTTGTCTTTTAACCTCTTTATCTTCAGGACTAAGTTCAATGCCTGGCACATACTTAGTGCTCAATAATGTTAGAAAAAAATGATCTCATGATTACCATCCCTTTAAAAATGTTTTTGCTTTAGCTAAGTACTATTTCCACCCCCTTCCTTACCCCTGCCTTCCATTTTACCTATTTATTCACCGTAAGTATCCTGAATGCATAGTATTCTGAATGTCTGCTATGCTCCCAAGCCCTGAATTAGGTGTTCAGTGTATACAGGCGAATGAGAGTCAAAGTCCTTGCCCTTTTGGAATTTATAGTCAAGCAGTAGAACAGTGTCTGGCACAAAGTGTTAACTGCTGTTATTATTATTTACTATTATCATTATCTTATTTTTTTCCTATAAATGTGAGACTTCTCTGCCGCTCAATTTAGCAAACATCTTTTTCCTATGTCCTACCTCTACAGTACTTTTTTTTTTTAGTTTTCTGTAGAAATTTGTTTTCCCCTAGGGACTCAAAAATTTTTTTTTTTTCCTTCCAGCCCCTGTGTATGGGTCACTCGCTCTGAGCCTAGGGACTGTGCTGGACACCAGCTACAGGACATGGTGGCTGCCTCAGATCACAAAAATTCTTTTCCAGGGACATGGACTTCATTTGGACAAGTTGATTACTTTTCTGAGCCTTTCAAACTGCTGCTTCGCGTCACTGGAGACAGCCTGGTTTCCCCTGGAAAGATCACTGAAGTCAGCTTAAGTGGGTTAGTTAAACTTCGGCAGGCTCTCGTTGGAGTCAGGAGCCAAGACGACAGAACGGGCTCCTGATCAGCCAAGTCAGGTGGGGTGGGGGAGGTGAGGGGGCATCTCCCCAGAGGGTTACAGGAAGTAACCACGCCCTCTAATGACCTACTTCTTTCTCCAACAGGTTTCTTCTAACTCCGCGGCACTTGCCAATTCCCCTTCAAGTCATGGTTTTCAGGATCTGGTTTGACCTAATATAACTCATGATATTTAGATATATTATGGTAGAGTTTAACTGCTCACTGTAGTGCTTTACCATACAGTACAGAGATTGAATAGGATGTACATATTTAATTTCGTTGACAAAATACTTAGGATCTTCCAAAAGAAGTAGGTGGCTCTCGTCTCAGCTTTAATTGTATATGCTCACTAAAAACTCACAGTGTTTTTCACTATGGAAATTGCTTGGAGTAACTGCATCTGAATTTGCCCACAAAATGGATCGTTCTACATGTGCTTTTTAAATAGCACTAAGCTTTGTTACAAATTCAGTCTTTGAAGTAAAAAATCTATAATTGTTTTCGAGTTATTTCTAATACTATGAAATACTACTTTTCTATTAAAAAAGGGAAAGATATTTGGTAACCAAAATTTTTAGATGCTGGCTATGTTGGCATCATTGTGAGAATAATATATCTGTGTCATATTATAGATGGCTGCTTCCTAGAGAAACTTGGGGTCTAGAAATGGGGAGGCATTTTCTAGTAAGTTATCTTCCTTGATAGAGAGTAGGCTGCAGATAAAAGGATTTTGGAGTGAAATAGACCTTGGACCAAAGCTCACCTCATCATTACATGACCTTAGGCAAATTTCTTAACCTCTCTGGGTCTCACTTTTTCCTTCTCACTAAAATGGGGATCAAAATACCCACCTTGAAGGGTTGTCGTGATGACTAGATGACATAAAGGATAGAAAGTGGTTAGCACAATGTTAGCACAGTACAGTAAGTACTCAGTCATAGTTATTACATAGTATTATAATCCAGATGAATCAATATTCATTTTTGTTTTTATTTTTTTCTGGTTTTAATCACTCTGGGGAAAGAGATTCCCAATAGCCACATTGTTTGACCAGGAAAATGTTCCTCCTGACCCGCTGAGTCTGCATCCTCTGCCACTTTCTCCTGCCTCCCACCATCCCTGCTGCAGGGGCAGCTGTGCTCAGCTGTAGGAGAGGATGTCCAGTGTCTTTGGAAGCCTTACAACTAGAGGCCTGCTTTATCTATTTTTTTTGAGGACTTAATTTATGGAAATGCTTGAGGAAGACACATTGAAGAGGAAAAATACTCTAAGATAACATACTCTTATCTCTCAGTAGAGTTAGTAAGTGCATCATGATTTAAGGTTTCCCATCTAGTTTATTGGCTCTATTGGTACCTATTGCCTCTCCTGCTCTTTGTTTTTCTGTCTCTATGCTCTTAGCAAACAAACAGGTTAATTACTCTAAGCACAGGCCTGGGCACAGAATTGGATTCAGTTAGTACTTGTCAACTGGCTTAGAACCCGAGCCTCTGGCTCTAGTCCTGCCTATGATACCTGTTAGCTCTGTGATCTAGGGAAAACCATTTACTTCTATGAGCCTCAGTTTCCTCCTCAGTGAAAAAGGCTGCTAACGTCTGTGACATAAAGATTTCATTGATGCTGTGGGACCACCTGAGGCAACCTATGTAAACAAAGTTGGAAAACATTAATTGCGATTTGATTATACGGAAATAACCTCATTAATATGTTCAAATCTCTTGCTAGCTTATTAATTTCCACAGTAGTCACTGTCATGTGCTATGTGATCTTTGATAAAATCATTCCACTCCTCTGAGCTCTAGTTGTCCCTCCTGTGACATGGGAGAGTAGACTTGATTACTCGAATCTTTCAACATTGCATCATTTTCTGCTGATGCTGAGCTTCCCTTGGAAATTGGAAAAACCACAGGCTTTGATGTTTGACAGGCTGAGGTCAATCTCCTGCTTCACAGGTTGCTGTCTTTTTGTCTTTCTGAACCCATAAAGGATTATCTCAGAGGGTTCTGGGTATTTTTGAGAACTAACAGTAGTTTGGCTGATGGGTAATTTTGCCTGCAATAAGACATTAGCTGTGAGCAGAATTCTGTAGTGACGGTGAATGGATCAGGCCAAGATTCAGGTCTATAATTAACAAACTCCAGTGGCCCACATGATAGAACTAGTTTGCTTTTTCGCATGTTGAATTTTTGTTGCCTAAATGACAGTGCTCTAAGAGCTGAGAATGGTTTATTGGTCCTCCTTGTCGTTGGTTCTGCTGCTCTCAAGGTGTGGCTCAAGCATTGCAGACAGATCTGCCCCCTACCCTGGCCCCTGGCCCAGTGGTGTGCAGCTGTGTCAACAGGCTTTTGAAGTTCACACACATCAGCTGACTGGTCAGCAGCCCCTAGGATCATCTCTACGACTCTTGCCACAGGAGATCAGGAAAGGTGTGTGAAAGTTGGTATTGCTTGAGAGGTAGGAGAAGGAAAATGATGAGGTTCTTGATGAAAATACAGGAGAAATTTACCCAAATTCATGATCCAATTTCATCAATAGGATCTGAGATTGTTCCTCACTGCTCTCTGCTTCTGGCTCAAAATCAGTACAATGAGCTGGTTTGCTTTAATCTGACCCAAATATGTGCCAACCAGTGCTTCTGTGGGGCTTTAGAGACCGTATGTTGGTGATGCTGGTGGTTCTGCAAGATCTGGAAAGAGCTTCTGAATCATCAAAACATGAATAAACCACATTCAAGAGAATTTGAATGTAGAGTATTACTTATTTGTTTATTTTTTTGTATTCTCTATTTAGGGGCATTGGGAGTCTTTTTTTCAGCATTTACTGAGAGCTCCCTATGGGGTAGGCACTTTGCAGGTGCTTTACATGATTATCACGTTCTCATTTAATCTTCACTGTGTCCCTAGAAGTATGTTGTTTTTGTTCCTGTTTTGCAAATGAGGAAAGCTCTGGGAGGTTAAAACTGGCTGAGGGTAACACAGCTGGTCAATGGCATAGCAGGGATCCCTAGCTGCCTGACGCAAGCCCTTGTTCAATACTTCTACTCTGTGGTGCCTCCTACTGGTAGAGCTTTGTTTGGATAATGTGCTGGGTGACTAGGAATCAGAATCTGCGGGAGACTAGCAAGCCTCTGCACATTCTCTTCGTCACTGAGTCTTGTCAGTTTGTCCGTCCCATTTCTCTTGCATTTCTTTTCGTTCTTACCCTTGTTTCTGCACACTTGGACTATTGCAGTAGCCTCCCAGCTCACACTGCCACCAGTCTTTTCTTTTTCCATCCTTTCTGCTCACCCTGCCAGACTCATCTTCTTTAACACTATTTTGTTCTAAAATGTTTCAATTAAAATGTCCCAGGGACTCTCTGTGGTTCAAAGATAAAGCCTTTGGGCTTGACATCAAGAGCCTCCCCCGCCCTCAACCCACCATCCTTGATTGACTTCAAAGCTGCTTTCTATCCTTACCCATCACTTCTGGCAATAACTGGATGTTGCCTTGGATTTTCTGAGTTCAGCATCTTTGCCCATGAGGTGTCCTCTGCCTGGAATGTTGCACATCTTTCCGCCCAGCCTCCCCTCTGTTAAAATCTCATTGCGGCCTAACTGAAGTGGCCTGTCTTCAATGAAGCTTTCTCCAGCTGCTTTTCAGGAATGATGCCCCCTTGAGCATTTTATAATACTCAAATAGTACATCTCACATATTGCTTCACTGCAGTTATTTGTGTATTTCCTCCCTAATCCTAATGTGAAGATGGAATCTCTGTGTGTGTGTGTGTGTGTGTATCCTTCCTTTGTTATTATCCAGCCATTGTTATTAGCTTAGTGCCTTGCACATTGTGGGCCCTTATTTGGTTGAATGAATGAACTAATGAACAGGGAAAACCAGCTAGCAAGAAACCAGACAGTGTTCTTTGTGCTTTTGTAGGTAATAATTTCTTTACTCTTTATAACTTCTCTAAGAGATAGGTGATATTATTGTCCTCAAAATAGTGATGAGGAAACCAGGGCACAGCAAGCTGAATTAACTAACTTGTCAAAGAATTAGCAATAGACCCAGAATTGAATACCAAGCAGTCTGTCTCCAGAACTTAGGTTCTCACTGTGGCTACTTCTCTAGGATTCTTTTTACTTCTCCATGGAAGGTGCTGCAGGACAATAGGTCACCTCACATAAGAGCTACTTCATGGGCTTATAGAGTTATCATTTGTGGTATGTTCAAGAGAGTCTGATAATGGTTAGGATACAACCTTTCTTCTCTAAGCCATGTGCAATGCAAATTGATGAGTCAATATAACCAGCCCCGAGTGCTGGAGTTCCCCAGGTAACAGGTGCTATGTAAAACTGAAGCATGTTTTCCATGTCCTATTAAACATGGTAACTTCATTACACAGTAGTCAGACTATGGGCCTGGGACGCCTACAACACTCCACTTTAGGTGTGAGATGATTACTTGATTAATAATCCTAATCGGCCTCCTGCACAAACCCTATGTTTATCATTCCCGTTTCATAATTAACTTTTATATTTTCCTTAACTTTACAACTCATTATGTGTACCAGAGTGACTGCAAACCCATATTTATCTAATTTAGCAAACATTTGCATGTGCTGCAATTAGACTCACATGTTGTATGATCAACGTCCTTTGCTAATTGCATAATTTTTCTGCATTTAATCGTCAGATGGCATCCTTCATTTTTTTTTTTTTTTTGTGTGTCTATGTGGTTTGCTGCTAGTTGTGAGCTGCATGTGGAATTTCAGACTGAGGCACATACTATTACAGAACCAAAGACATTGTAGAGCTGGAGGAATTACCTTCCTTATTTACAGGTGAAGAAAGAAAGGCCCAAGAAAGAGAAGGCACTCCCCTATCCAAATGGCTCATTATTAAGAGTTCCTGAAGCGTGAAAGAATGAATATATCTGCGAAGGACATTTCCCAAACCATTCCAGTGTAGAAATTCTGTGAAATTCTTGACAAATAGCTTGGAGCTTGACTCTAGACTCAAGATTAGGCTGGGCCTAAAAGAAATCAGGTTATAGGCAAGCAAGGATCAAGATATTCCTAAATTGTAACCCTTAGCGATTGATTATCGGCTTTGGGCTGCTTATTGCCAGCAGATATTTCATTATAAGGAAGGCTGGCGAAATTCTTCCCTTCTACCTCTTTATGTAAAATTTTTTGTTCCTCTAGAAAGCTAGATCAGAAGAGAGTGGAAGATTTATCCAGGAATCAGGGATTAGCATAGAAAGAATCAGAATATTAAGAGCTGAGTGGAAACTCAAAGATCTTCTGGTCTACTCAATTTGTTTTATAATGAAGCCCAGAGGTCCATATCTAAAGTCACAAAGTTGGTTGGTTGCAGATCTGAGACTCACATCTCTGTCTTTACTCACAGTCCAGGTTTTTCTTACTATAGTGCTCTGCTAATGAGACCAAGAGGATGTGGTATGCCTTGACTCCTCGAATTCCCTCCTTCCCTCTTTTATATAGAGCCTGGAAGTATTAAACTGGGATGTAGATATGCAGAAGCTCAGCTCTTGATCTTGGCTGGTACGAAAGGGCTAGAGAAGCAGATTACCTGCATGAAGAAAGCACTTGCTCCCCGCTGTGGAGATTTTGACCTCAGAGGATTTAAGAGAAGGCAATGGAGTCCAACACAGTACTGGCCCAGTGTAGGGACTCTACTGATATTTGCAGAATTAATGTGTGCATTGGAAGAGGGATGAGGATGGAATGATGACGTCAGAAAGATAAGAGCAAGCTAGCTATTGCCACTTGCATTTTTTTTTTTGTTTGGAAGGCCGAGGAAACCATGAGAGACCTGTCACAATGGATTTCATCTCTTCATCTGCCCGGGAAGAAGGACTTGGTCATTAATGTAGAAGCACTAAGAATCATCGGAGCTGGAGAGTATAGTCCAATGGTGAGCTCAGAAGAGGATAATGGCTACTGGCCCCTGCCACATCTCCAGACCTGGGAAGCCATGTCACTGCTGCCTACAGCAATAGGAATGCCCTGTTTTTGAACCCCTAGCAGCCAGGGCATATTTTTACGATGACACTTGCCACTCTGTCAGATATGCCCTTTGTATCTCCTGGCTCCTAACACAATGTCTAGGGAATAGTAGGGGCTCAGTAAATGTATATTGAATGAATGAATATATGGATTGTACTCTGTTGAAATGTGTGGCTGTCATCAAGTCAGCAGAGAGAGAACACAGGGAATGGCCAAAGTAGTATTAAAATATTTTAATAGCCTATATTGATGGACCAGAGCAATAAAATAAAATTTAACTAGTGCAAATGTAACTTAAAGTCTACATTTAGTTAGTTTAAAAAAAAAATCAATTGCCTAAAGAGTGGATGATGCCTGAAGGGGTGCAGTCCATATTTTAAAAAGTCAGTAGTGGGTAAATCTTACTAGGCTCTAAGCTCGATGTGAAGTAAGAGTGTGATGTAGCTGCTAAAACGGGGTTGGATTCCGTAAGTATAAACTGGGTCTAGATCAATGCAGGTGACATTCCCTGTAGCTTTTGAACTCGCTCAGGTCACAAGTGGGGCATGACGTTCATTTGAGTTTCTATTATTAGCCATACCTTAACTCGGGGCCAGTGCTTTAGTTTCTAAAGTGTTTTACCAGGCATTATCTTGTTACATTGGCCTAATAAGATGGTTTATATACTGGCAAGAGCAAGCTAACTTGCTCAAGGTCACTTAGCTGGTGAGTGTCAGAGCACTGCCTTCTGACCCCTTTTCTGCTACATCATGCCACTTTTATGTGGACCAGAGCCCCTGCTGTGCAGCCTCTAAAAGCAAGGCTGGCATGATGCTTGTCAAGTGCTGGCAACAGTGGACATGCTCAGATGGGCACTTCGCCATCAGGCAGCCCGACAGTGATGCCTCAGAAACCACTTTTCCTAACTCGGGAGGACTTTGACATCCGTAAGCACAGTGACCCTGGCCTGTTTCAAAATCAACAACAGAAAAACATCAAACATCACCTCACCTCTAAATGAGTCCTGGAAAGGACAAATCTCCATTTTCTGCTCTTCAGATCTTATGGGAAGGATTTGTGAGCCGGGTTGTGAAATAGGAAGAGGAAAGGGAAAAGTGCTGAAATCTGTCAGGTGCCTATTAAATGTCTGAGTCAAGACATTTCACATTTAATTGAGTTTCCTGTTCTTAACACAGTACCTGTCTCTGCAGCCTCACTGCTCACCCTGGTCACCATTTGACTGCTCTACTTCCTGGCGTTGGGCTGTCATAATAATCTCTCACATCCATTGGTTTTCCCCAATGGTTATTTTATCCACTTTCCCAAAGCCTGCAAAGAAAAAAAAAATGTATGATCTTATATGTGGAATCTAAAAAAGTTTAATACATAGAAGCAGAGTGTAAAATGGTGGTTACCAGGGGTAGGGACTGGGGTGATATTGGTCAAAGGGTACAAAGTTGCAATGATGTAAGACGAGTGAGTCTCATGATCTAATGTACAGCGTGATGGCTATTCTTAATAACACTATTGAATACTGGAAATATGCTAAGACAGTAAAATTCAGGTGCTTTCATCACAGAAAGGTAACTATGTGAGATGATATGTTAATCAGCTTGACTAGTAATCATTTCACTATCTGTATATCAAATCATCATTTTTATTAAAAAAAAAAGGCAAAACAAAAAAGAGGTGGGTAGGACAGAGATTATTCCCTCATTTCACAATGACACACAAGAATGCTCTTCCATCCTTTTGTCCATCCAGTCATCATCCATCCATCCATCCATCCATCCATCCATCCTTTTATTCATTCTACTTTTTATTAAACTACTCCTATAGCCTAAGGTCTGTGTAATGCACTAGGGAAGCAAAAATGTCTGGCAAGCTATTGGGAGCCATATATAAACTCATAATAAAAAGAGGTTATCATTTATAAGTAAGGGCTTATAAATAGGAAGGCCATGCTTTCAGGTGGTGTGGTGGTGGGCTGTCATTGCAGATCTTGACCAGTAGGTGGCGTTCTGGGTTCCAGGAGGCTCGAGAGCCTTTTTCAGACTTCCAGGCCAAGCTTTCATTTTATATTCATCACCGTACTTAAAATCGGATTCTAAGTCATAACATTGAAAAGCTGTATTCAATTTGATTTTAATTCCATTTATTTGCCCTTAATTGTCCCATGCCTTTCTAAAAATGGTCAAATTAAATCTAGTGTCAGGGCTTTCTGGGTAAGTGAAAGACATATCCAGGAAATTTGGACTCCTAAATAAATTAGCATCTCCAGTGACTGGTACTAGGTCCCAGATTCCTTTCTTAGGAAATGCTCGTGAAAAGTTAATACTATTGGGTAAATATGTGGAAGAATACACTTTAAGATGTTAGTTATGATATCTCCCAGTGATGGGAATAGAGATGGTTTTTGTTTTGTTCTTTATGCTTGTACTTTATTCATTTTTTACAATGAGTGTATATTAATCTTTTTGTTTGTCTTTAGTTTTTCATTGAAGTATAACCCACGAATGGAAAAGTATGCAAATCTTAAGCAGCTGGATCTATATATTTATATGCATGTGTAACCTATACCCAGATTAAGATACACATTGTTAAAACCCCAAAAAGTTCCCTCATGTCCTTTCTCAGTAACCCTCCTCACTCTTGCCCCCTGCCCGCCAAGAATCACTATTCTATCATCATAGATTACTTTTAAGTATTTTTGAACTTTATATATATGGAATCATACAGGATATCTTCTTTTGTATCTGGATTCTTATTCAATATTATTTCTTTAAGTTGATGTGTATGAATACATAAAAACTCACCAATCTGTTCTGTTGTGTGTAGGAGAAGTCTGTTCTTTTTCATTGGTATATAGTATTCTGTTGTGTGAGTATATTGCAGGTGTATATTTTTATAATCAAAAAAATTACTAAAAATGATTAAATATAGACATGGAAACCTCTTCCTTACTGAAGGCCAAGGAAACATTTCAACTGCAAGTTAGTCCTCAGAGTACATGGATTAATACAGCCATGCGGGCATTAACTTGGGCACAGAGGCACAGGGTCTTTGTGAGAGGATGAGGAGCTGGCTAATTGTTGGAGATTGGTTAAGGCTAGTTCTGGCTCTCCCACTGGTTGTGTGCCCTTGGGGCAAGTCATTTAAGTCATTAGTTCTCACTGAGCCTCAGTTTCCTCATCTGTAAAATGTGTAGAGTTACCAGATTGAGAGGGAAAAAAGGACGTCCAATTAAATTTGAATAGCAGATAACAATGTGACAGGAACAAGGCTGAGCGGGGAGAGGAGCAGGAGTTAAGTCAGAGTGGGAGAGGGGCTTTGACTTCCCCACCATCCTCAGAACCATGGGTTCAGCATAGACTTGAGAAGGGCTTGGTCCTTGTGAGAACTTTCTCCCTGAGGACAGAGCCTTGAGTTTGTGAGGGGAGGGAAGCCTGAAGCCTGTCCCTGGCTTTACGGTGCTCCCTGTCCCCCAGTCCAATTGTGTTCAAGAGACTTTACACAGTTTCCTTGCTACTGTTTTCAGCCTGAAGCACACAGTGGTTCTTACCAGACAATACTCCACTCTGAGACCCCAATGGATCTTTTTCTTCTGAAATAGGACCAGTTCAAAAGGCACTTAGGAAATCAAGCCTAGATTTGTGTCACCTGCCCCTTTTGACATGCGTGAGCATTTTAGATTCTTAATAAATACAGTTAATCCTCATTTTTTTGCGGATTCCGTATTTGCAAATTCGCCTACTTGCTAAGATGTATTTGTAACCTCAAAATCCATACTCACTGGGCTTTTGTGGTCATTTTGCTGACATGTGCAGTGGAAAAATTTGAGCAGCCTATCACGCATGTTCCCAGCTGCAGTGAAACGAGGTGCTCTGCCTTCTTGTTTCAGTTCTCCTACTTATACTGTAAACAAGTGTCCTTTAGAGTCTACTTGGGCCCCCCCTTTTTTTTTTTTTTGCATTTTTGTGCTATTTGTATGTGTGATTTTGCTGTTTAAAACGTCCCGCAGATGTACTGAAAGTGCCGTCTCGTGTTTCCAAGCATAAGAAGGCTGCAGTGTGCCTCGCAGAGAAAATACTTGTGTTTGATAAGCTTCGCTCAGGCCTGAGTTACAATGCTGTTGACCGTGAGTTCAATGTTAATAAATCAACACTATATAGCATGTTAAATAAGGTGTTTTTAAACAGAAATACATGTGAAACAAGGTATGTATTTATCAGTTGATAAAAATCTTGTGACCAGAGGCTCGTAGTAACCTAACCCTGTATTTTTCTAGGAGCAAAGGTTTAGTATTCACTAATTCAGTGTTTGTGATGACTTCATAAAATGTAACTACTGAGAATAACAGGAATCGACTATATGCGGCTAAACTGTTGTCCAGAGAAGTATAATCAAAGCTCACTGTTATAGGTAGGGTGTAGGAATGCCTGTTTTACTCCATATCTGCCAGCATTAGATATTATCATTTAAATTTTTTTTTTCTATTTTGATAAGTGAAAAGAGTATCTAATTTTAATTTGTGGTTTTTTTTTTGACTCTTGGCGAGGTCAGAGGTTTCTCTTAGCTTGTTAATGTTCGTTTGTGACCGTTCATCACATTTCAAGACATACTGCCTTGAGTCCCTTCTGTGAGGAAGAAAGTGTGGACGTGCTTCTGGGTTATCCAGAAAGCCAGCACCAGGGCTGTATGTGGCAAAATCACAGGATTTTCTTCAGGTCCAGGGAGACCACAATCGACCGAGTTCCTGGAATGTGCTAGCACTGTGCCAGGCCTCCCTGGGGTAACACAGCTAGCTCTGTGTGACATCAGTGCTTCTGCTCATAGTGGTTAGAGCAGAGCTTGCCAGTCAGACAGCCTCGGTTGGTGCTCTTGGGTCAGTTTCTTAACCCGTGCCTCGGTTCCCTCATCTGTAATAATGGAGATAATAATAACAGTACTTTACCTCATGGATTTAATGTGCAGATAAAAGTTAGTGTAAGAAAATCACTCAGAACAAAGCCCAACACACTGTAATGGCTCCATACGTGTTGGCTGCTGTTGTTAAGTACCAAGAACTGTGTAGGGTACATAATCCTCGTTCTAGAGAAACTTGCTTGAGGAGACAAGATGTGCACCCACGAAATAATCAAAGCTCTTTACATGTTGGTAGATGTGGTTTAATAGAAAGAGCACTGGATGGGGAGGCAGGAATTCTTGTTCTGCTTTCCATTCGTTGATTTCCTGGGCTTAAATCACTTCACTTCTCAGAAACTCAGCGCCCTCACTTGTTAAAAATATAGACAGATGCCTAACTTTTCCAATGCATTCTCACATCTCTTATTTAATCTTCTCAGCAGTAACGTGGCATCAGTCTTAATGTCTTTATTCTACTGATGAGGAAATTGCAGCTTAGAGGCTGAGGCGACTAGCAGTAAGAGGAAGAACATTCGACAGCTGCCCAGTGCTCTTCCTACCTCATCACCATTATCTCTGGTGTAAGGCGAAGGTTTGGTTTGGAGGGCTGTCCAGCTAGAGATTGGTGATGATTTAAAAGGAAGAAGTGTGAGTTAAGGGACCTAATTTACTTAGTAGATGCATCTCCATGGTTAGTTAAATTTGTAAATTCATCTTGACCTGTCGCTTGATGCTTTACCTCTTCTGAATATCCCTAGAAACTCTCTCAGTTTCCCCAGAATAAGTGACATTCAGCAGGTTTGTTTTCTGGCTGGAGGCTCTTTTGCCTGCCTTTGTGAACAGAATCAATGCAGGCTTTCCTCTTCCCTTCTCTTTGCTCCTTATCTCTGGCATCTTTCCTGAAGCCAAAGTAAATGAGTCATCTCAGGAGCTGTTCTGCTTTGAACTGTTAGGCAAGTCCCATCTTTTATTTGCAGCCACCTGGGCGACTGCTGAATGTGCTGCCTCTGCTGGCCTCTCTTCTCTTAGGGAATTAAGTCCCCTCCTTCTCTCCCTCCTCCCCCTCCACACACACACACATCCTGTGCAAATCGAGCTCACAGTGGCTAACAAGTTCTCAAGACAAAATCCATACCCTTTGGCAAGGTCAAACATCATTATGCTGTTTGACACTTGCAGACCTAATGCTCTGATTACCTTTCTGGCTCAGTAATAAGTGATAAGTGTGGTATTAAGGTTTAGACTTCTTGCTTCCCCTCCAAGTCATGGCTGTTTGCTTATCACAAGGCTCCCTGTCCTAAGCCTGTAAAATCTGAAATGAACTTTATTTGCTTATGTTGCTGCCTTCCAAATGGCAGCTCTATAAGACTGGCCTCCTTAGCTCTGTAGCTGTCACCTTAGGTTGTCCCAGGGCCTTGGCTTGTCGGGGGAGGCAGGATTATGTGCAGTATCAAGTCTTTTTTTTTTGCTCTGTTTTTCTCACTGTCTGGTTAATGTTCTTGCCCCATGGCTGGTGTCAGCTTTCTCTGCCTACCAGTTTCTGGGCAAATTTTGTGCAAAAATTGAGTCTGTGTGGGTGTGGGTGGGGTGGATGACCTGAACTCTTCTAAAAAATAAGGCCACTTTGAAAGCCTCGGCTACATCCAGCTGTTCCTTGTCTGGTACGTGCCTCCTTTGCAAACACCCTGCCCGCTGGTGGAATGTTCCAGCGGCTGCCAGTTCCTGTGCCAGCCCACAAGATTTCTCTTCCACCATCAGCGAAACGACCCTCTTTACCCTTTGTAACTTGGTTCCTCTTAGCGACCACTTTGAACATGCTGTGCTCTCTGACTGAAATCCCTCCTTCCTATCATTCGTTTAACAAGCACGTGCCATTCATTGCTGTAGGTGCTGGGGATGTAGCAGTGAACAAGACCGAGTCCCCACCCTCATGCTGCTGATATTCTAGTGGCCTCTATGTGCGTGTGCGTGTGTGTGTATGTGCGCATGTGTGCACGCTTGTGTAGAAATAAACACGTCCACTAGTAAATAAATAAGAATCAGAATGTAGTAAGTGTCATGCAGCCGATGAACCTGACTGGCTTTTCGAGATCCAGACCAGGGACCACCTCCTGCATAAAGGCTTTCCTGGCCCACACTGCTGCTTCCGTCCTTCATCCTGTTCTAGATAGAGGTCTTGACTATAGCTCTTGACATGCTACCTTGTAATGTA